AGCCAGGTGTGGTAGCGCGCCTGTAGTTCCAGCTACTTGGAAGACTGAGGTGGAAGGATTGCCAGAGCCCAGCGGGTCGACACTGGGGTAACTGTGAGCATGCCACTGCACCCCAGCCTGGGCAGCATAGTAACTCCAACTCAAAAAAAAATATATATATATATATATGTATATTTATATATATATATATATATATATATATATACACTTTATATATATATACATATATACATATGTATATACATATATATACTTATTATTAAGTATATTTTTTGTATTTATTGTAAATGGAATTTTCTTGATTTTTTAGATAGTTTGCTATAGGCATATAGAAAAGCTACTGATTTTTGTTGTTGATTTTGTATCCTGCAACTTTAATGAATTTGTTTAATAGTTCTCACAGTTTCTTTTGTGTATTCTTTAGGGTTTCCTATATACAAGATTCACATTGTCTGCAAACGAGAACAATTTAACTTCCTTTTCTACTTGGATGCCTTTTATTTCTTTCTTAGTAATTCTCAATCAGTTCTATCCCAAAATATTGTTTCTGCCTCGACTTATTCCCATCCATTCTTTTCCCCTCTCTACTCATTCAAGTTTTCCTAAAGAAGCAGAGAAATTTGTTCTTTGGCACTGAAGTGAATAAATCATCCTTGATTTGGCATTTAAATGAATATTCAATCACTTTCTGTAACTTTACTTAAGAGCTATCATCAACTATTTCTGCCTCATCAATTCTAAGAAACTTTAGGTCTTTGAAGCATTCTAATGTGGTTTTTATACAATACAAAAAAGATAGCCATAAAATTACATGTTTCTGTTGGGAAAGAATAAAAGATAAAAATTTCTGTGAAAGAATGGTTTCAGCCACAAACTCTCTTGCCTGTTCAAAAATCACATCCACAAAACTGGCTTTATCACCAGAGGAAAAGATTATTCCAATTTCTTTTGGTGGTAAACTCTGACCCTAAAGCTATGTAGCGCTAAGCAGATAGCCTATTTCTGTCCCTTTTATTCACATATTTCAAAGTGCAAATGAGAGGAAGGTGATATTTTGGGCCTCTTCTAAGTTAGGATGGAAGAACAGAAGCCAGAGATTTAAGTGACTTGTTCATTGTTAGGCATAAATGTGGAGGATGAAAGAGTACAATTGGTCTCGCTCATTCTGGGCTTTTCTTGTAAAACGGCCAAACCAGCCTCTTGGGATTGAAAGGACTCACCTAGGCTTCAACGAAGCTGGACGTGACTTCTGTGATAGTATGTATGAGCATCTAAGGCCAGGATTTGGATTCGCAATAGCTTGAAACAATCATTTAATGAGCAGAAAGTTCACCTTCCTCAGAAGGATTGTCAATGGGGTGTTTTACTCTATTTTCCCATCTTTCACTGAAGTTTTTGAGGCAACACAGAACTTCTACAACAAGATGATGATCTATAGTTTCAGGAATGTTCACTGAGTACACCATCAATATATTTTCCTCAAAAAGCCTAGGTACTAAGACAGTGGAAAACGGCCTTGACCTCTTGTCAAGGTCAGTAATGGAAGGAGACTTATGAAGAGAAGATTCCTGTGTGTGTTCAAGGTTTGGGACGTGTTCTTCACCACTGTCAAAGCTTATCTGCAGGTTTATTAAATGGAACAGGCATTATTCTGCGCTCTGATACGACTACAGGATGCCTACATCATCTATAAAGTTTTCTATGGTCCTGGGGAAGATTTCAGAAACTCTTTGCTCAACTATCTGCCATTCTCTATTGAGACACAGGCAACTGATCACTGCTAGGTAAAATCTTTTCTTTAGAAAGTTCCCAATTTTCAAAGAAAACTGTCACTGTTTACAAAATGGCTTAAATAAAGTCATTAGAAACCTTCTAAAGCCACAGCACAGAAGTTTCCTCATCCAGGCTTCCATTTCTGACTCAGCCTGGACCATCTCAGCTGCACAATTTTAGATAGCAATGGAATCCAGGGCTATAAGGAACACAGCTCCCTTGTAGTTTTATTTACAATGATGACTGCAAAGAAAGATGGATTTATTAGAGGTCCAACATCCCATTAAAGTACTCCTAAGCTACCTCTAACTTTAGTCTCCTAAATCCAAGTAAAACTCTCAAATGGGGTCAGGACTTTGGACCTGACTCATAACCAGACCTCTTCATCAGCACCTGGACCATCTCTAAAGGACTGGAAAGCACCTCCACCCTCCTGCTCATGTGGTTTTGGCATTTGTTAGGACAACACCTCTGGAGGAAGAAAGTAGCCTGGCCAGGCCCAGTGATGATATCTGTTAATACAGGATTCATTAAGTAGTGAAGAGAAGCCCTAGGAAAATGATGATTTAAGAACAATGCTGCAATGCACAGATGGAGGAACTTTGAAAGAAAAGGACAATTATCTTTCTAATGAAGTCTACTTTACTAAAACTTATTTTAGATGCCTCTTCACTGAGTTTGCCAAATGAAGCAAAATCCAGATTAGTTCCAAGGCAGGCACTTGCTCTTCATAATACTGATGCCTTCTTCATACTCAGCACTTTTAACTTTAATCCAGATCAGTTTATTCTTAATGGAAAAAGGGTATTTTATCCCTGAAAAAAATAAAATCGAGTCATAAAATGGTGTATTTAAGATATGGCAGCATGAGAAGAACAAGCACTGGCATGATCCTGGGGTTATTTGGAGGATACACCTGGGCAAGAGGAATCCCTTACTTTAAATAAAACAGCCCCAAAATGGCTGGTAACAATAGTATGAGCTTCCAGAATGTTTACCTAAGGGTAAACATTTAACCCCTAGTTCAAAATTCCAGCCTTTTACTCTGCCTTTGTTTCCTCACAAGTTTTTCCTCTGTATCTAAACTGGAAAACAGTTTGCTGCACAAGTAATTCTTTGTCACCCAGAACAAATTCCTGAAGAATGAGATCTCAAAACACTTGGACCTAGCAAGCCTTTATCACTCAATGAGTTGAGCTGAAGGTACTGTACTATGTTTAGAGTTTCTTCTTCTTTAATTGAGAAGAATACTAAGATGTTTCTATCAGAAGAACAATGTAGTCTGGAAGGTAGAAGATTAGCCAGTAAACACGGACCTGCATTCTAATTATGACCATCACTGGTTACGCTACCTTGGCCAAGTTAACTAACCGCTCAGAGTCCAGGTTTTATTTTTGTAAAATAAGGACAATAGTATCAACTACCTCAAGGAGCTGACATCAATGATAATAATACTATTTACTGACCAAGTATAACAAAAAGCACTTTCTAAGTTTTATATATAAATATCTCATTTAATGATCCAGGTATCTCATTGAGTTGGGTGCTATTTTATCCTCATTTTATACAGAAGAGAACATAAGCTTAGAGGAATCAAGTTTGTGTTTAAACCAAAATTTGACCACAGACCCTCTGACTTTAGGGGCATGCTGTGAACCACTACAAACAGTGTGAATACATTGATATAATGAATATAACATGCTTAGCGTAATGACTGAAATATAATGAAAGTTCAATAAAAGTTTTTATATAATTAATATAAAACAGCATTAATGAGTATAGTAGTATTTTTTAAAATATTAGGATGTATTAGATGTTTACACAAGAAATTCCATTTTGTTAACCAATAGTTAATAAAGTCTGATGGCAGACATTAGAATTCACTGACTTTTGTAGCCTCCGATTTTAGTACAGCATTTATGGCAAAGGGGTGCTATGAAAACCTGCCAAATGAAAAATGATTCCTTTTGGAATCATCAGTACTACAAAGAAAAGCTGACTCAAGACATGTTCAACTGGTCTAAGCTAAAACCTATCTAGAACACAGACTGATGCCATCTTTTGTCTTTTCATATTCCAAACCATTGGCAAGTCCTCATAAGACTTATTTTTAGGTAATAGAGAATATAAAGAATTGCAATTAATTTTTGTCCTCACTGAATAGTAATTATCGTGCAATGATATCCTTTCAAATTGTGCTCAGGACACATAAAGCAAAATTCAGAACTGCTTTCCCTTTAATCTAATCAGAGCAAGATGTTGCAAAGTCTTAAGAAAACTGTTAGGTGTTTGGTTTGGGGGAATCAAATATCATGAAATTAATCTTTAATCATATGTATTTTAACACTTCTAGTGCAATATCATAAATGGTAATAATGATTTCTTCATCACAGAAAAGTTTATTCTTACAAAAGTTATTACAGAACTTATAGAAGAATAATGAACTTTTCTAAAAGGCAGTATCATAATCCAAAATGGTAATTTTATGGTGTTTACAAAAACTTCTATTTTAAAAATGAGAAAATCTGGGTGCCAAAAGGCATCATGTCTTGCCCAAGGTCATACAACTGATAAATGGCAGAACCAAGATGCTGTCTCCTGATTCAGTGACATTTTCAAGCATCTGAAAAGAAATGTGGCCTTGGAACGATGACATTTGAATAAGACAAGAGAACAGACAAGTTTCAGCACAGTTTCAATATTCAGAGCTAAGTGGCATTATGTAATCACACACATTTGAATGTCCTTTATAATTTTTAATTCATTTTTTTCTCAAGGACAAATTTTCTTGAGATTGCTCCCATTTTTAAGCTAAAGAAAAAAGAAAGAGGGAAAGAATGAAGTTAATTACAATCATGCTACTGAACATAATTTTATGCAAATCAACAAATATCTCTAAAATTATTATAACTATGCTTAATAGAACATATTTGGACAAAGATGTAGTAGCAAATAATAACCGTTAAAATTCTGAATATACTCGTCAACTTTTCACATGTAAACTATAAAGCTTGCAACTGGAGGTAAACCATTGTACACTAGAGTATATGGGCACAAACTTGGTCTCATCCAACCTTCTGTGTGGCTGTTTGTAAAGCCAACAAAATCAAATCCCTAGCTTCATGAGGATCTAATTGTTATGCATACAAAGGACGTCTCTCTTGGGAACTATCAACGTTGGTGACAGAGGGCAGATCTCATAAGAGGAAATCACATGCAGTAATTACCTAGGCATGTAAAGGACTCTCTCCGCCACCACAAAACCCACCCTGAAGAAGAGATTGCTGGCTGGAATGAACGGGAACACCAGGAACAACATGCCCACTAAAACTTCCTTGTGCTCCAGTCTCTGAAACACACAATAGTGAAGGACAAATTAACTTTTGTTTAATTCCACTTTGGGCAGCATTTAACCATTTTCTTCATTTTCAAATTCTCAATAAAGGAATGAATATATTAAACCCATATAAGCCTTTTGCCCAGTGTGCTGAAGTTAACAGAGAAAACTTACAGGTTAAAATCACGGGCATATATAAACACTCACGCATACCTCTAACACAAATTTGCCACCTAGAAACATGGGATATTGACACAATACAGTCAGTGACCACTACTCGTTGTTCTGGGCTGGCCCTATAGCAACCCTGCTTCTGATTCTGGCTCCTTTCAGAGTCCCTGTCCTCCCAGACACTTCGTTTCCAGGAAGCAAAGCGGTTAAATAAAATCAAACACAGCACGGCACCATGGAGAATTTAATTATTGCCTATCTGAAATATAATGCATTTTAAAAAAAAAAGACCATCAGGAGAAGCAAAGTTTAACATAAGGAAAATTAAAATGCTAATGATAAAATTTGGGACACCAATGAAGGGGAGGATCACTTGAGCTGAAGAGTATGTATCCCTGCTGGGCTCAGTGGTTCACACCTGTAATCCCCACACTTTGGGAGATTAAGACAGCTAGGCACGATAGCACGTGCCTGTAGTCCCAGCTACTTGGGAGGCCAAGGTGGAAGGATTGCCTGAGCCCAGGAGGTCGAGGTTGCAGTGAGCTGTGATGGTGCCACTTACTCCAGCCTAAGTGGGAGAGTGAGACTGACTCAAGTAAAAACAAAAACAAAACAGCTCTTAAATTAGGCTAGTAAGCAAGTATTTAGTCTATGAAATGTTTTGGAATTTAAAATATTAGAATAATCTAGCAATTGACAAAGAATTTTTTCTGATATTGTATATATCAATTTATAAAGATTTTCTATCATATAACAGGAAAACTTCCATTTTCTAACAATAATATATTGTAATAGACATTGTAAAAATAGTTTGTATTTCCATACGTATATATGGTACAGAGGTATTAAAGAGAGTTCTATCTAAAACAGAGCTTAATATGTTGAATAACATTTTTTTAAGTTTAAGAAGAAAACCAAGTATACTTTTCACATTATAATTTTGATGTTTTCTATAAACATTTAAAATAGTCTATTACTTTTAATAATTGGTAAAGAATAAATAATCTCACCAATATAAATACAACTCCCTGATAGAACTTACAAATACTTTAAGTATAGAAAATAAACAATTTTAAATATCTTGGGATATTGTCACCTGGATTTTATTAAAATCTTTGTTTTATTGACCACAATGTATAGCGTAATACAATTTCTGAGAGTCATTCCATATGATTTGGACAGTTTTCCTTAAATAATCAACGGTTTTTTATAAGTAATAATCTCATTTTTGACCTAAAGACATCGTACCCTTTAGAATGAAAAGAAAGAAAAAAAAGTAGGTTAAATAACAAGGCTTTAACTTAAACTGATGCATATGGATGTTATATTCCTATGATATATCTAAATTGACCAAAAAGTTATAAAAAAAGAGCAAGTTCATTTTATTTAAAAGCTGCAAACCATTGTAATTTAGACTACAAGTTTACAAAGTACATTTCAAATTGAGAACTTAAAGTACATAATTTTTAAAAATCTTCATAATAATCCCATGAAGTCAAGAGCAAGTATTTCTTGCTAACATTGAAAATAAGTTCCAAAGAATAAGTGTCTTGTCGAATGTTCCTCATTAACCCTGAGCCTGTTATTGAGCAGGACACTGATGTTCTCTTTTAAGAGGTGCACTTTAGGAGTTAGTTGATTACTCCTTTTGACACTTCAATGTTGAAATATTTTTACAAAAGTGTTCACGTCTTTCCAAAGTGATTTCTAAAGAGAATGTAAAACATCCTATTAATTGATCCCAAGAATTAAGAATGAAGAGTGGTCGGGCTTGGTGGCTCAGCCTGTAATCCTGCGCTTTGGGAGGTTGAGGTGAGTGGATTGCCTGAGCTCGCGGTTTCGAGACCCGCCTGGGCAACTTGGAGAGATCTCATCTCTACAACAAATCAAAAAAAAAAAAACAAAACTAGCCAGGCGTGGTAGCGCGCACCTGTAGTTCCAGCTACTTGGAAGGCTGAGGTGGAAGGATCGCCGGAGCCCAGCAGGTCGAGGCTGCGGTGGCCGGGAGCGGCCACTGCATCTCCAGTCTGGGTGACAGAGTGAGACTCCAACTCAAAAAAAAAAAAAAGAAAGAAGAGTGCAGGTATAAACAGAACAACACTTGGGACATTATCTGTGTCCCTGGGTAGTGTTTTAGCCAGTGAACCACCCTGCCCCTCATCAAGGTCATTAAAGAACAGTCCTCATCAGGGATCCAAAGAGCCTTCAATCTCACATCCCCAACATCACATCTTCTCGCTGACCAAGGCCACCTTCCTCACTATAGTCGGCCTTCATGTCTTTGACTTATCATAGTTCTGTCAGGTGACAGCAAAGCCAAGCCCCCTGCCTCCTACTCACTGGAGCTCCTGCAGTGGGCAGGATGCCCCCGGCACTCACTGCTGTTGGGAACTCTGAGATGGAGGAGAGACAAGAAGTGATCAGCCGTCCCCAGGAGACTGATGTGCAAATTGAAAAATAACAATGCTGTGTGTTCATTGGTGCCTCCACCAGGTTTTTCAGGCGCCAGAAACAGTCTTTATTTCCTTCATCTCAGTTGTAATTACACATCTATCTGTGTGTTTACTGTCTTCAATGCCTGTCTTTCCCTAGACTGGTGAGCTCCATGAGGGTAGAGAGCTTGTCAGTTGTGTTCACTGGTGCATGACTTTGTCTGCTGCTTGGTGAATATTCAGAAATACTTGTTGAATAAATCAGTACTTGAATAAGTACCAGACAAGAGAGAAAACTGGGTGGAAGGAGGAGAGGAAGCAGAAAGGGCTTTTTGGTAGAGGTGACTTCTGGGCTTGAAAAATAAGTAACTGTTTACAAGGTAGACAGATTTGGAAGTGAGGGGTGGTCACGGCTAGGCACATTCCTAGAAGAAGATATGGAGTGTACAAAGCAGGGAATAAGATTGGATGTGTGGACAGGTGACAGATCATGAGAGTCTTGTACAATCTACTGTGGAACTGACCTTCACCCAGTGGCACCAAGGAACCACTGAAAGTTCCCTCACACATAGTGAAAAGTGAGTGTTTGGGGTTGAGGTCTAGACTGAGTTTGTACACCTTTGGTTGCCTTGGGCAGGCATACTATTCCTTCTATCCTTAAAGTGCCTCAGCTACAAAATGAGATAAGTAAGGCTCATGGTTGAGTGGGTCACTACAAAGATTTTTTTGAGTTCAAAGTCCATGCTACAGAAGTTGAGGACTGTGAGCTTGAAGTCACTACCACAGACTGCTACCAGAGGGACTGATCATACAGGGTGTTTTCCTTTGTTTTTTAAACAACAAATTGAAGACGATGGCACAGTGGGCAAACTCAATGAAGTTTTATTATTTTATTTTATTTTGAGAAAATTAATATTCATGAAAAAATTCTTTATCTTCAAATTAATAAGTCTTTTTTTGTTCCTCCTCCCTATTCAGTCGAGAAAGATTAAAGCTAGTCAAGAACATATTTCTTTGAACAGCAAGACAATCTGCCAAGCAGAAAGTTCTAAGGGTGGGAACAAATACATTATGGACATGGTTGAATTTCCAAGAATGAGGCAGACTGGGAGGGAACCCAATTCTATATCCTGTAGATCACTGATGTGACAAAATTGGCTAAATAATTTATAACTTCTTTCAGCCTAATAGATTCAGATGGCACGCTAACAAAATATAAGAGGAAAAAAGAGAAAATACATAGTATTTTCCAAAGTACACAATTTTAGGAAAAAGAGTAAATGTAGATTTACTTATTCCAAACTCCGCTAGGGAGAAAAGAAACATGAGAATTAAGAGAGGTAATAATACAACCATTATAATGCATATTATCATATGTATTTGTCTGATTAACTGTGCAACTTCAGACAAATGAATTTGTTTCTCTGGGTTTTAATTTGATGATCAATTAGACAAAGAAATGGCATTGATACCGACGGTCTCTGTAGGAAAAATGTGTGATAGATTCACTATTACAGGTGTCAGATTTTATTTCTTTTTCTGGCTTGGAAAGAATACTGAAAAGCATCCCCCTGAGCTGTAAAGAGATAACATCCTGTCTTAACACCTTGCTTAAGGTGCTAAGAGAGGGGCTCAGTCACCCTTGGCACAGACACACACCTGGTCAAGTAGCTAAGGAAGAGCCAGGGTTTTTCTCAGAGCATTCATTGCCTCAAGGGAAATCCAGCTCCAGAATCTGAGTCTGGTTTGGAGGCTTCTGGCTTATCCTCTGTCCCTTTTACTCCCAGTTTATCTTTCAAAGTGCAGGTCATAGACAAATACACATACATACACACATACGCGCGCGCGCGCACACACACACACACACACACACACACACGTGCACTCTGGCAGTGTGTGGGTGAGAGTTAATGAAAAAAAGGACTCTTCTCTTCCCATTTCATCACAGACAAAGCATGCAGGTTGTTCCCATCCAGAGAGGTGAAAAATAGGCTTATTATAGCAATTATTATCATCATTACTATTATGTTTTTTCTCACTTCTAAACACGTTTCAGAGAAATGGCACTCTGCATTTAGGGCATGAGTGGGTTCACATGGTCCTACGAGTTGCACAGTTATATTTCAATCCTCAGGATTTATTTGGCAGCCCTAGGATCTAGCTGTCTGCATCCAATTTATCAATCCACAGGGAAGCTGATGACAGTAAAGCTCCCCTTCCAGTCCTGGGATTAAGGCGTTTGCCAAGCTGACAACTGGTATGGCTGAATACTTATTAGGCTCTCCTTTTTATAACTGTTTATGGTTCTACTTCCTCTGTCAGACTCTGGATTCCTCCATGGTAGTCATCAATGCATATTTAAATTTTTCCAGATGCCTGATGCAATGCCCTACTGCTGTCCACAGGAAA